CTTCCAATCCCTAACATCCTGTAATTCCGTGAAAGATATGGACTTACTGGAGTGAGTCCAGCACAGGGTTGGTTTAATGGACTACCATATGAGGAGATGCTGAGAGAGCTGCGACTGTTCAACCTGGAGAAGAGAAGGCTCAGGGGGATCTTACAAATGTGTGTAAATACCTGAAGGGTGGGAATGAAGAAGAAGGAGCCAGACTCTTCTCCCCTTCTCTTCCCTTCTGTCCACTGACAGAACAAGAAGCAACAGGCAAAAATTCCAAAATAGGAAATTGGATCTGAATATAAGAAAACTTTTTTTATTATTATTTTTATTGTGAGGGTAGTCAAACACTGGAATATGTTGCACAGGGAGGTTGTGGAGTCTTCAATATCCTTGGAGATATTAAAAACCTGACTGGATGTGGTCCTGAGGAGTCTAGGTGACTCTGCTTGAGCAGGGAATTTGGATCAGATGATCTCAAGAGGTCATTTCCAACTAAGCAATTCTGTGATTGTGTATGCTATGTGAAGAGGAAAGAATTCAATGTTTATCTGGAATGATCTGGGTTTCAGCCTTCTAGAAGCACCCTCCTGGGAGTGAAGGAAAGACACCCTACTGCTCCTATAAATGAGGCCTATGTGTTCTCACAGCAAGTGAGCAAAATGGCCTTTGGAAGTCCATCACTTACTTCTCCTTACAAAACACAGGGGTGCTTGTGATAGTGAAACCTGCTTAGGATTTTTCCTAATCCTCTCCATTCCTGTCTGCTTCCTTCACAGCCACAAATGTGTTTCTACAAACTAACAAAACACCCCTGCCATGCAAAAACCAAAATACCACTCCCACCTCAGAAACACTCAACAAAAAAACCCAACAGAACAACTGCAACATTTTGAAAAGCTGATCACGCCTGTGATCTGGCTATCAGATCTGTCTCAAAAACACTTGTTCCAGCACAAAAGAGCAGACAAAGAAGCTGCGGCACATGGGTGGAAATGCACTGACCTACCTCCAACACAGCATGAACAAGAAAGGTTGAACCACGTTCTCTCAATATGATGCACACTAGGAACAGCCCACCCTCCAAATTTTGGAATTCTAACATTTCTTACAGGTTCACCCAGGGTGACATTCCTCAGTCAGGTACAGCTGGAACTAAACTCTCTACTCCTGATTCTGTCAAAAACCCGTGCTGGTGTAAAGCAAGACTTGTATGAGAGCCTGTTGTACGATAAAGGTGAAGCGTTAGCCAAGTGACCCGCAGTGCCTAATAAATGTTTAGGCACAAAATTATATTTTCCAAAAACCTGTTTAAAATGCCAATTTTAGGGCTAGGAATGGAGATTGCTTTCATAATAATAGACCAGTTAAGTTTTCTTCCAACAAAAGCACTTTCACCAGGAGGAACTATTACATGCATTCAAATTGTCTATCGAAATGTAACTGCTAATTAAGAACAAAAATGACTGTGAAATTGCAATATAGGCTCCATTTAATTTTACTGGGAATTCCAGACCTTCACTGTCAGGGAAGTAACACCTCTCATTAGCTCTGCAGACACCAGAATGAGTCACTTCTCATCCTTTGGTTTTTCTAGTTAATGACGTGGGCTGTTTTCATACACTTGCCAATGATTAACCATAACTGAATGTTTTGTGGGTTTGTTTGGTTATATGCTACATAGAATTTATCAAATATGTCACAGTGCTACAGAGGACTCTCCCCCACCCCCCTATTGTTTGATGCTTTTTTTATACAAAACTGCAGCTTAATATTTGCTGTGAAATGCTCTGATAATAAAGTAGAATCACAAATGGGTTTGTGCATAAACTTAGGACCAAGAAATATCACTGGATTTCTTCTTTGTTCAGGTTGTGCTGGCAATTACAACAAGCAGCACGGTTGATTTAAGTGATCTGTGCCATCAAAATGTAGAATGAAAAACAATGACATCTGGGATTTTTCTTCTAATACAAGCTTAATTATTAATCAAAGCTATGTCACACACTAAACATTGGCAAATGGCTTGAGAGCATCAGGAATTTATTTTTCCCAGTGGAGTCTTTAAAAGTCTTTTAATAATCAGAAGACAGGACTAATTTACATCTGTGCTGCCCCCAGTCAGATTTCTGACCAAATACAGTTTGTAACATTCACGTGTAAGGCAGTTTTGGGGGGATGAAGGGAAGGGCAAAAATAACCAGTGAACAAGAGTGTGAAAAATTGATCCTGCTTCCATTACAGTTCCAGATCTTTAAGCTCCCACTCTCAGAGTTCTACAGATTTTTAAAGAAGACTCTGTAATTGCCCAATATTTGAGATAAGAAAGTGTTTTACTTAAAACCAAATAAACTACCGTGCAAACAATAGATCCATCTATTAATCATAAATTTTTCTACTGAGGCTAATTATTGTCACCAATCACCGTGCTAGTTCCTGCAATATAGGAAGGTTATCAGTGAATGAAAATTTATATTATATGCACTGAGCAGTTTTTGGTTTTGAAAAAACAAGCCCCCAACAACCTACAGGTCTGTAGCACTGTAGTAGCTATTCTCATTAATTTTTGAAGTACAACACAGCGATTACATGTACCAGATGGCAACATTTTATGCACATTGATCTGGACTACCTCTGAAATAGCAACTGAATGTTAATGAAGGGTGGCTGAATTGCTGAACTGCTTCTCTGTATGTCCCTATGTTTTAAACATGGTTTCTTATTCTGTGGCTGATGGTCTTGCTAGAAGGAACAGGATATCACACAGTGTGCATTTCTGTATTTAAATAATGTGAGCTGAATTCCACTGATAGAGGAAATCACATCTATATCAGACAGCTGTGGCTTAGAATGAGACTAAACTCTTCTCAAATTTTCAGCGATTAGATTTTATTTTTAAACTGACTCTTGCAGTTTCAACAGCTACAAAAAATACGCACGCTCCACAGAAAATAGAAATACTACTGTTTTACAAACTCGTAGTGTATTTTCTTCAGGAATCAAACAAACCTGTCGTTCAGCCTTACGTGGTAAACTGTAACTATGATCAGACCTGACTGTTTGGTTTGAATATGAACTCCTGTCCACCGCAAAGAACACGTAACTCCAACCCTCAGTGTTCTTCTATTAGAGTCAATGAGAAAAGCTAATTGGAGAGCAAGTATAAATAAGGGAGGAAGGAAGTAGATGTTTAGCACACGCCCAAGATAAACATATCCATATAGAATGAATAGAAAAGAAATGCTCACGAACAGCATCAGGAAAACACAACTGCAACTGAGCACGCACACTGTAAATATAACTAAAATAATAGTGCAAACTGGCCTGTGGTCAATACAAGAAAATAATCTTTCTGTACATTGAAACACTTAGAAAAAAAAGATTTGAAGGAGTAACAAATTAGTGACTGGATTTCTCCCTTCCGATGCAACCTCCCCCAGCACCTTCTCCCCCACTCTACCTTAAAGTTTATCATACTGATACCTTTAAAGAAACCAAGTTTCCAGAATAGGAATTTTGCAATGAGCTGGCAATAGGTGCCCAATTACCTAAACTGCAGTTGTATATCCACACACTCTACTTATTATCCTTTCTCTAAACTCTCTTCTGCAGGACTGCCTGCTTCAGCTTAGGAGGAACTGAATCATTCCTAGCACTATCATCATCTCAACTCACCTCCAGGTTTCTGTAAGGGCTCCTCTGCTAATCTCTCCAACCTGCATTTATTCATCTTTCTTAATTTTCCTGTTGCCTGCCACCCCTTCTCCACTAAAACCTAACCAGCTAAGTACTCTCAAATTCCTCAGTCTCAATGGTTCTTATTCTCTTTCCCCTTTCTTAGGAGAACAAAATCTCTTTTGTTATAAGTTTGTCTGTGAAAGTTAGAAATGAAACAATATACTGTGCTTTTAAATTCTGAAAAATGTCCACAGTTGTAGGCCAAACAAATGCCTCATAAAGGTTAAGTAATCTTCAATCAGATACTGAAAGACAGATGAAGCACAGAAAGAGATAAGGGTGCTTTAAAAGACAACATCTCATCTGGTTACTTGCACCAGAGTGTTAGAGGGAGATTACATTGCATAGGATGCCATATGATGCATCTGCTGCCCATTTTCTTAAAAAGGAAAAAACCACAAACTACATGTGACAATATACACAGTCTGAGTCAATGATGCAGCATTTAATTTAGCTGAATCATGCTGGGAAATGCAGGTGGCATGGATACTTGTATCCATGCAGCTTTTGGTGCACTACATATTTACTTATATGAGCATTACAAACAAAAGGATTTTAACAGTAGAATAAAGGCTTTTCAGTGCCTAATCTCAATTTGCAAAGAATTAACTTCTGTTTAAATCAATTAAAGCTGGATCAGACCACAGTGAAAATGCACTGTAGGAAAACTTGCTACAACAAAAACACCTACTCATCAAGACAATCAATTCTCCCCTTCTTAATGTATTTAATCTACATTAAGAACTAGTACTCCACGTGAATCTAAAAGGCAAGTATTTCACATACACACTTACACAGATTGATACGTATCTCTGTGTATATCAAAAAGGATATGAATAACTCCTTCATCAACTCTGCAGACGGAAGTTTGCAGTTGATCTTCCAGATGCACCAATTTCTGACTTATTGCTTCACATTTTTCTCCCAGCTCTGCAGAAAATACGATGAACTCCTAAAGGAAGTTGAAATAGAAAAGAAAGCACGTTTGCTGCTGCCTGCACTTTTCTACATCAAATTTGCATAAAAATTAAGGGGAAAATAAAATATTAGTAAGGGGATTTAATACTTTGTAGTGCTAAGATATTGCCTGAAAGCAAATTCTCATTAGAGAGACAAAAAGTTGTTACTATATAATAATTTGGTGATTTATATGAAGTGGAACGAGCTTGTAGTCTCAGTCTATTTCCCAGCAGAAAAAAGTCATGATCTCACTTTCAGCAGAGGATTAAAGGGGTGTGAAGACTGAACTGCTCTCCTTCTTTCCCATTGTCTCATCACAGCAGGGGAGGGAAATCTCATGCTGACTACACCATTTAGGTTCCTAAATTTCAAGTTGTTCATGTAAATATGATTTACACTTTTAGGTCATTTAAATATTTCAAGAAGCATCACTTTTAGCATCTCTTCTAAACACAAAATGTACTTACTTTTTTGAGGAAAAATCTGGCTGGAATACTTAGGGACTTTGCTCAACTGATCAGATAAAATGCATCAAAGTCTTTGAGATTACAAGATGAAACTACACTTTTTTTTTACTGTTATCATGAAACAAGACAAAATTTTCAAAAATAGTGATTCTCTATTTAGAACTTATACAGACAAATGCTTTTTCTATTTTAAACCAGTTGCAAAGTCCTTCCCATAAGTTTGTTTGCTTTCAGGTATACTACACAAGGGTAATTTATATATTTCATATTTTGTATTGACTATTACTTTGAGAAATTACTCAAATAAGAAGCAAATCCAAGGGAAGGGGATCAACCAATTTGTACAGCACTGAGATAAGCCTCTCCTCTCTCTCCCAAGGCATCACAGTGCTGTCTACATTGAATGACGGGGGTTATCTGTAAGCAAAAGATTATGGTGCCAAGATGAAGTTCTGCTGGAGCCATGTTGAAAAAACTGGAGTCATTCATCAGCCAGAATCCAGACAACTGGATTTTCTTTAGACCTAAGTCTACACACTCATCTATATAGCCAGTTGCACATGTGGCCATATACAATCTTCAGATAGTTTTTCTCCTTTAGAAAAGTTCTTGGAGTCCTTTGCACTCATCTCTTGCTATAATAGCAGCCATCAGTGGTTTAAGAGAAACCAAGCCTTCAATCAAAGGCCTTCCAAAGAAATTCTGCTAATACTTGTTGGAATGCTGCCCATTGTGAAACAATTTGATTTTTGGTAAACACATTTACCAGACCTCAGTTCTATGCTATCCTTTGCGTCATGCAGTACACATGCAGAGTCAAGTGTCAGAAGAGCTCTGCTTGCTGGCACATCCTCTGCTACAGCACAGAGCTTTGACCTTTCTGCCTTCCTAGGTCTTCTGCCAGACATCACTCGCTATTCAGCAGATTGCATGGGTATGCAATCAGCTGCAGCTCAAACCCTGGACAACTGAGCTGCAGAGAACTTGTGCTGCAAACACCCGCAGCTTAGAGACAGAGAAGCACAATCTGAGAACCAGCTGCTTGAGTCGCCGGCTCTGTGCACAAGTCCCGAGCAGCCATCTTCAGAGTCATTATTGAACAGCAGAATCTACAGCAGCACTCCACAGAATCTATAAATGTAAAAATGACCCATTGTTTTTAAAATGAGAACAGGGGAGGAGAAGGTTCACGTTCTCCCTACAGCAACTAGGAACATCATTTTCTCAAGACCAGGGACAGAAGATGACGAACAAGTCTTCCATCCAGCTGCTAAATCATTATTCAGGACACCAGCAAGACTCCATATGCTGTTAGAGAATGGGATAACCCAGCAATTTATATCAATAGAAGGCTTTTAGGGAATCATTTGGTGACGTGCATGCAAGAACAGATGACAGTTTTCTGAAATAACTTAGGTCTTAGGCTAGAAGAGTCAGTAAACTGTAAAAACCTAGAGAAAGCTCCAACCTCTGAACACTTATTTTTCTCTAGCAGTTAATTACACATAAGAAAACTAGCTCTTCACATAACCATCATCTCTAAGGCAAGAAAAACAAGACAAAAAAACATTCAGTGCTATGCAACCATTAAATAGTTAATTTAGGAAGAACAGCTTTTAGTTAATGCACAAACTCTTAAGTATTGTTCTGACAGACAAAAGCCATAAGTGAAGTTTTCAAACTGGACTATTTCTAAAGACTCTGCACTTCGACAAAATGAATTAGTCCTGTACAGATCCTGAAGAACAGGTATCATAGTGACACACAAAAAGCAGATTCTTGCTCTTATAACATCAATATATTGAATACTTTAGTCTGCTCCAGTCACTGCTTTTATCAAGAACTGTTACTATATGAAATTTCTGGATCATATTCATGCTGTCAGGAAGGATGATACTTCTAGTCCTGATTCAAAACCGTCAATTACTACAGACAGCAAATTAAAAAAGTACACGTTACAGTAGACTCCTGAATACCTGTGCCATTAAATTTATTGAAATATAAAAAGCATTGTAAAGATATGCATTACAGTAGGGTATTCCTTTCTTTTTTAGGGTACTGTTGATGGCAGGAACATTTATCCAGATAACCGGTCACCCAGTTAGCATTATCATTAGCTGCTGTAAGAGAAGATCCATTTCATAGTATCATAGAATCGTTTTGGCTGGAAAAGACAACTTTAAGATCATTGAGTCCAACCGTAAACCTAACACTTCCCTCCACTTTAGAACTGCCCTCACGTTTCCTGTCTTCTATGTGCAAATAGAAGGAGTTCACTGGGCAGCTAATCTAAATGATAAGACACTGGCTGGATTTGTCTAGCCCTACTGAGAAGATCCACAGCGGAATATTTTTCCCTTTTACCATGTTAGTGAATGTACAGGGCAAAATGGGCCTTTTAGACCTACCCCCTCACTGAACTTCAGGTGGGTTGAAAGATGCTGGAGACAGCATTTAGATACTTGGTTGGCAAAACAGGCTCCAAGTTGCAAGTGTGGCCTAGCTCTAATGTACACAGATCCCAAAAACCCAAGATAAAATATAACTACAGCCTGAAATCCACAGTCACCGTGCAGCTGGATGACTACACTTCCTGGTGTATTGCTACATAATCTGATTTCATGTTTGTAGTTTTTTTTTCCCTTTTAAAATAAAACTTTACTGACAAGTAAAAAAAGGTCCCAGGAAGGACAGAATGAAGGAGCCAGCGAACAAGCCCCCAAGACCCTAGGACTTGAGGTGAATGCTTGTTCTGAAGCAAAGGCACCTCATGGTGCTTTACATCAGCACTGACCTGTATTTTGGGGTTCTAAGCTTTGTCTAGTAGCTTCCACCCCACTGCATTTCAAGGCAAGGACTTTATTGGTGCATTGGTCTCACACTAAACATGCTTAGGAACAAGAGACTATCATTTTTAATTCCCTGGCTTTAATTTCTTTGTCAACTGATTACTCAGATTCTCACTTAAAGTAAAATGTCCATTCCATCTCATGTGAAAAAAATATTCTGATTACATAACAAATTGTCTAAAAATGTAGCAATGTGGTGGTTTGGGTGGATTCACTCAAAAATCCTGTTTACTTTGGAAATTAAGATAAATGAACAATAAGTACTAGAAACACGTGCCCAACGCAGAATGGTTACAACAACATGGAAAGGTAGGGAAATCTGAGTAAATAAAAATTGAATCAAACTTATTTAGGTCTTTAAGCACTTGAAACCCATAACTGTATGGTTATGATTATGGTTGCAATGCAGTGTAACTCAAATATCTCTGTAGCGTAGAGGTTATATTCTATTAATCATAAACTCCTAAGAGGTATTTTGCAGCTTAATTCCTCTTTAATTCAATAGTGCACAGATAAACTATTTTTGCACGTACATGATACACATGCCTTTTTAGTTGAAATGAGAAGTTTTTCCATAGTTTAGACAAGCATCGTCTCTCAGGAGCTTACTTGCAGGCATCACATGAAAAATGCAGGAGGGTCATCATATAAATTATGATTTTTCCAGAACAAGTATATGTGGTCTTTCTTATTTTGGATTGGAAAGACGTGGTCATGCAGAGAACTCTACCTTTAGTTTAACATCTGGAAGAGTTACAAATGAAATGGAAAAAATGGAAAAAAAAACACCCCTGCTCTCAAAAATATAAAACATTAATTCTAAATATTCAACCAATCCCACAGCTTCTGCCCCCAGGCCCTCATTTGAAAAATGTTCAATAACCCAGAGAAATAGATAGGTAAGATTTCTCTCAGTACCTTTCATGCCTAGTAACATCACTGGTAACATTTTTATTTGACATTTGTCTATGCAGGCAGGGAAACTGCTGTGAGTGACAAACAAACTACTCAGAACAGCTCCTGGTTGGAAAGTGACACTTTACACTGACCAACAATACCTCTGAGAGGAGAGTGGAGTCTGCCTCCAGCTCAACATGTTAATAAACATGACTCATCCAAGCTTATAGGTTATGTCAATGCTACAAGCTACTGTAAGTCTTAAGACTTCTTTGGTTATTTTTGCAGTAACAGCACTTTAAGGAAGCAGTTAGGAGAGATTGCAGGAGTCAGAAAAGAGCTGAGATGCAATATTGCTTTATGGATTTTTCTGTGAACAGGGGATGTAGCTGGTTGGATTTTTTTTCCCCCCTCTAAATCCTTAAGCAAGTGAAAACAGCTCAGATGTGGGTGTGATTTGGTTTTTTTTAAGGTTAAATTCTTCTGCCTTCTCACGCAAAGTAGAAATTCTCATTCTCTCCCCGAGATGTGAGTGTCTAATGGAAGAAACAGGAAGAACAGACAGTGTTCCAGCTGATGCACAGCTGGAGCATCAGCATATTGAATTAAGAGCAGAGGGAATGGCTTCCACTTTTTCTGCATTTCATCTTACCCTTTTACAAATCATTTTAGTCACCTATAAGCAACAGCTCCTTGACAGCTTTGCTCAAGAAAAAATGTTTGATCAGCTTTTCCAGTGCAAACACCTTTCATGCTCTCTTGGATCTAATTCAGCAATTTTATATAGAAGAATCAGTATTGTAGTAGCTAGATTAATCTAACTCTATTAGGGATTAAAGGCTAATAGTCTTTTGTGGTTGTGCAGAGAAGCAGGATTCACAGATATATCCTTAAAATTAATTCTTCCTACAGAGAAACTTTGTAAAAAGGCATCGCCTTACTTCAAACTAGCAATATGATAACTCAAATGAGATAAAATCCTTAGAAGACCTTCTGCAGAACATCAAAGCCATATTTCTTTCACCTGTACTAAATCCTCTCCTATAATAGTTAAAATCATTCAAAACAATGTAAATGACAACTACAAGAAGTTGTCCTTGTAGACAGATACTTTACACTGTGGCACAAGGTTTAGAACAGTGACATTGTTGGCGGAAGTGCTGCACGCTTACCCTTATCCCTTGCAGAAGTTAATGGAAACTGTGAGCACTTGAAACTCCAGAAAGTCAGGCCAGGGCATCTCTCAAAATAATTTCTAGAAACAAAATATAACCGTCCATAAGTTTTTTCCTGTTTGAGCAGATGCTGCAGTCCCAGGCAGGCAGGCTAAGTGCACATGCCCTCAGATAATGAGCTACATGGCCACAAAGCATCCAAAGTGCAGGTGGAAGAAGCATTTGTCCCTGCTATGCATCCCAGATTTCCTGCCCTGTGTGCATTGTCCTGGGCAGGTGTCATAGAGGAGGGGGGCAAAGTGGCCACCGAGAACAGGCTTAATCTCTTACTCTGAAAATAACACGTGTTACTTCTGACCAACACCATCCTAGCATCATAGCAAGGCTGACCAGCAACCGGGGACCATCAAAGCCGACTCTGTGGCTTGCAGGGGGATCAAGCCCACTGTGTCTGCCTACACAGCTCTTAGCAGCTGACAGGGATTTTGTAGCTCTGGTTGCAGGGCTAAAATGCAGCGAGCAAGTTTTCCTAATGCAAACTTCCCTTGCTACAAACCAAGAAGGCTACATTTCATTTTACCCTTACCTAGCACACAATGATAACTAACCATTGTCTTCTTTATCATTATTTTTAATGTGATTGAAGACTTTGACTTTCAACCAGACCAGGATTTTTAAAGCTTTTCTTTCTATTCCTTTTCTTCAGTGTTTTCTTCTGTCTTCTACAGAGTGAGGTGCCCAGACCAGTGCTGTAGTCCTCTGGAGGCTTCGACATTCTCAGCTAAGCACAGTAATTATTTCTGTCTTACAACTGACATTCCCATTAATGAGGCTGCAAATGGCATTTGCCCTTTCTTGAACAGGATGAAGGTAATGAGTCCCTCTCTATCTGTAGTCCACTATAACCCTAGATTCTGCTTCTGCAGTATTGTCATCTTAGCTGCTATTTACCATCTATATACATAAATCCAACTCTTTTTTCTTCCTCAAACGTAATTTGCACCTGTCTTTTAACATATCCCATCTTATTGATTTCAGGCTATTCTTTCAATCTGTCAAGAGCATTTGGAATTCTAATCCTAATTGAAATTATGTTGACCGAAACATAAACTCCTGGTCTACCTCCTTTTTAAAGGCAAATACCAAGTCTGCCTTTTACTGATCCCCTGGGACTTCAAGCTTCCTCTGGGAGTTTTCAAAGAAGCTTGTTAATGGTTTGGAGATTGTTTTTGTTGGCTCCTATGCACTCAGAAGAAATTTCATCTGTCTAGCCTCACTTGAGTACATCTCACTTGCCTTAGGACCCTTTACTGTGTTCATCTCTTGCTACCTCATAGTGAATACTAAGAGCACCACATATATGGATACAATTTATCATTTTTAGAAAGACCAAAAGCAAAGAAAATAAGGGAGGGAAAAAAAATCTGCCCTCATTTAATTATTTTAAGTCACCTTTATTATTAGACACATATGCTTTCTTTCACCTGCTCCTTACATACAGCTTATCCCTGAACTCCCTTGCCACTTTGCAAGTCTTTTTGCTTACAGTAGCTTAGTGCGTTCAGTGGTCTTGCTGGTTCACTTGTACGCTGTGCAGTATCCTTTCAGACTCATCCTTGGGGACGTTTTTGTCCTTTCCTTTTCAAAATTCTTTTGGGCCACTGACAAGTTGCTGACGTAGATATGTAGCCTGTTACCATGTTTGCTCTTTTCTGCACCAAAAGAAGATGGTGTTGTACTATAAACATGATGACTTCTAGAGGGTACGAAAGATCATCTTCTGATTCCTCCTCCTACAGACCTGGTCCCAAAGAAATTCACCTGTTTCTTCCCTGGTTTTGCTTAGGTGAGTTTTTCTTTCATGGAGGTGGTTATCTGCCTTAACTCAGAAGAGGGATCAAGGTTGTTTCCCAATTACTTTTGCTCTTACCGACTTCCACTCACAGACTGCTAGCTTATGCCATCAGCCTGTTCATGTATATTTAGGAGACTGCAGCACTACAATATGCTCCTCAGTTTCTCATATGCAACAGTTTAGGCATAAAGCTTTCCAGACAGCTGCTTTGCAACTGTGACCTCTGTCTTCCCCACCATCACACGCTTTTCCCACATTCCCTTTGCTTGCACTGATCCTCTTCCCTCCTCCGCAGGGATACAACCACACATGGGAGTGTTATATGACTTATCAAAACTACAGCCTGATGTTGGCAATGCTTCCCCTCATCTAACCTCCATTACAACTATGGAGGGGCATCCTTGGAAAAGCATCTACACAGGAATAGAGCTTTCCACTGCTTCCAGCACCCTGCTGTGGTCTGGGTGACAGCAGTCTTCCCATTCTCATCTGTAGCAGACTGAAGATCTGCCCCAAGTGCAGGTTTCCTAAAATCAGTGCAGACTACTGTACTGGCTCACTTAATAAATATGGGATGATTCCAGTTCCTGCTGTGGGAGGAAGAGGCTATTTACTGACTTACCAATAGAAATTCACAGTGGGCCAGGACTTGGAAAAGAAACAAAAGCACCAAACTGTTTTCCAGTGTCCACACCCTGCTGTGCTAGGAGTCAGCATAGCTGGGTATCATTTATAGGTAGTTCCTGCTGTTGTTCATTCCAATCTCTGCTCCTGGGTCACTAAGATGCAACTATCTGGAATGACTAACAGGGTGCTCTCCTGCAGGCAGCAGAGAGACTGACAAAAGTGGATTAGGGGACCAGAGTGTCAAAGGAACATTTAGGCAAAGCCCTGACGTGGTACAGGGTGCTGACAGTTTCACAGAGCTTTTATAGAGCTGTCTACAAGTCAACATCAATCCAGCTGTGGCAGTGTGGTAGGGCCTGGCTTTCTAGCAAATTTCTATTTCCTTTAATTTGCATCATAGCTCTCTATTCTCTTTATGCATTTTTTTTTCCCCTCAAAATTTCAAAAGGGCAAAGTTCCTCTGCTTGTGAGGACTTTAACATATTAAGCTCTTAGTGAATACTTCTACAGTGACAGCATCTATGCCTGTGAGCTCTGGTGCATTTGAAAACCAAGCACACACTTCACACTCACATGCTTTGGGCACATCTGTGAACAACTTCTTCAGTCAAGGGCTGGGTTGTACTACAGCTTTCATTGCAGGTCATTGCTGGACACAAGCATGCATTTGTACTCTCATTTGCTTTGGTCCACACCATACACAATTTTTAGTTTCCAGCAAATATTCTGCTGTCTTGGCAGCTGTCACTACCAACGTGCCCTCAGCATTTTGCTACCTTTATCCCATGGGTCTACCTGCCCCTATTTCATGTCATCTGTGGACACAAGCACCTGTACAGTTTTGGTTTAATCCATAGCGAAGTTCACTGATAAGAAAAGGTATTTGCATTTTCTGCAAAGTTCACCTTCACTCTCAAGGCTTTCTGTTTTTATTTATGCTGAATTCACACACAGACAAGCAGTCCTTCCTAGGCATGTTCTCATGTCACAGTCTCCTTGTACACAAGGTCAACAATCTGAGTTCGGTCTTGCAGTCAGATTATCTTTCCTAGAGTATTCCATCTGCTCCACAGTCTTTGAATTCATTGGTGGGAATCCAAAGAAATGCCTCACCTGAATAGTTATCCTAAACTGCATTTAAAAAAAAAAAAAAAAAAAATACTTGCTTGGCTGAGCACTTGTCACTTCTCCTTGACAGGTGGCATGTATGATATTATGGAAGGTGAACTGAGGGTTATTTACCCGTGTAATTAATTTGCTGGCTGGACACAATACTTGGATACTAAATTTCCTTAGTATTTAAGTTGCAACCCAAGGCATATCAATATAAAAGCGGAGCAGACTGAATCAGTATAGGTCTTAGAACCAGTATAAGTCTCTTTACATATATATTACCTAAACTCTTAGTTTGTATGTAGACAGATTTTTCTGTGTAACCAGATTTTTCTCATCACTTGCTCTCACAGGAAATGCATCTCATGTTACTCAATTATCCTAGACTTTCTTAAATATATAGACTAGGATCCAATATCTTTTTATTTATGAAAATAGTGTAAAATGACAAACATCCAGTATTTTTATTTAGATTAAATTCCTATTACCCTGTAATACTGCTGCAGTATGCTTTTATACTTCAAAAGTAAATTCAAAGGTATTTTTAGTGTTATACAAGGAAAAAAAGTGAAGTATCATGGTTTTGTTCCATTCCAAGGAAAAAAAGTGAAGTATCATGGTTTTGTTCCATTCCTAAGCATCATTACAGTGCTCCAGTGGGGTTGGCTAAATATTATCGGTCCTACTTTCCCCCAACATATTCATCCTGTTGTTGGTACATATTAAAAGCACTAGCAGAGAATTTAACTGTAAACTCACTGAATATACAGCAATTTTGCCAGATATCTTCAATGGAAAAAAAAAAATGGGCTCACTCTAGTTGTACCTGTGTTGCTTTTCTAAGTGCTCGTACACTCTCTAGCAATTTTTACCCAAAGGTAATACTATAAAAACAAGTGTCATTAATTCTAATTGAGACTCAGAAAGTCTGCACAATATCAAGATTTTATACTGCCTAGAAAAAACTTACCTCAGATAAATGACCCTCTGCTCCAAATGAAATGTCTTCCATAACCTGTTAGAGATAAGTTATTAAGGATACCATGCTATATAAACAGTAAGATTTCAATGGAACGTATAAAAACCATAAAGCACGTTAGAAGTTATATAAGCTGGACAATTACATCATTTTGCTTCACATGTGTGAAACATTTCAACTGCTTTTATAATGGAGTAGTGGCAACCATCCAATATTTAAAGCTAAATTTAAATACATTTTATTAAAGTCTGCCTTTGGCCTCTCAGTTAAAATCCACAAGGAATACTGCCTCTAAAACTGAAGGACTAACTAGAGATTGAAACAAACTTTTCTATCAAGCTCTTACGGATCTACACACCATTCAAGAGTCTACAGAAATTTTTCTGTCACAAATTCTGTAAGTGATTTTGGGCAGGAGAAACAAGAGACTCCATTGATGTTTTGTATTGGTAACACGTGCTAACTATAGTTAGTTCCTCTTTCAAAATTTGCTTCATCTGTAAAGTCCGTTGAATTAACCAACATTTCATTGATTGGCTGAGGGGCAAAGAAATTTGATGTTAACGTTATTGTTACATAATTAATACTTATCACACGTAACTATTTATAGTCTTTAAATAAACTGAGATAGGGATATTGCTTTGGTAGGCTAATACTTAGTATCATAGGTATGTATATACCTACACACATATATATAAAATAAAGTGCAAAATCATTACTCTGCCAGAAGATCATTATTATTACTGGGTACTATTTTCAGTAACCTAACCAAAAATAAGTTTCTTTGATTTCTTTTACCTGTAATATTAATTGTCTGATTATATTTTTACTGCAAAATACACACAAGCATCAAGCTTACTGAGACACTACAGTCTCTAATTAAAGGGTTAGCATTTTTCCAGTAGATACTATGCAACAGTACCACACACAGCTAAGGGGCATCGTACTGCACATCACTGCATGTGACTGTACAATGATGATCTGACCATACAAGCCAGCTGCCTGTTGCTACAGAAATCCTTTCCAGCTTGGATCAATACAAAAAACACTCAAACACTGACTTTCACTGATGCTTAAAGCTGACATTTAAAACAAAGATTAAATTTAAAGTTTCAAAATTATTTTTGAAGCTCTTCAAATACAACATTTAATTAAAACTCAAATGAATGCACAGTTTATTTAGCTTTCTAAAGGCTTTATGCTTTACACATTGCACATTTGCCTCCTGGACCACAGGCTATCTCAGTGCACAGTAATGAGTTACAGCGTGCTGACAGAGGCTTTCTTGGTGCTTGCTATCACTAAATTCTGAAAAATGTTGTGTCATATCCTGTGATTATTTCTTTTTAATGATGGACACCGATTAAACATTAATTTTTCATGATTGTCCACTTAGTATCACTTAGTACATTCAGTATCTTAAAAAAAGAGAATCACATGAAGGCTTTGCAATTATAGAACATCTTCCCAACACCACAGTGCTCTACAAAAGATCCCAAAACATCGTCCCAGGTGCCAAAACGGAAGTATGCAGAGGTGAGGAAAAGACAGCAGCTCTTATTCTTACTCTTGCTCTCTGTTTCTTTTATGGTGGAAAAGTGAGAAATGATCTACAAAGAATTCTCTGATGGGATAATGACCAAAAATGCTGATTTACAGAAGTAACACTACTGAGTTTTGGTTTTTACCTTGTAACTTCAATCACCTCAATTTTCTTGAAATCTAGTGGATGTTTCTTTCCTTCACAGTAATTAAGAGGAAGCACTGCACAGCATGCCAGATAGCAGAAGAGAAGAGAGAAGGATAGGTCAGGAACTCAAGCCTGCAGGTGCACACATACTCATGTTCATCAAGATACTTAGTGTTAAGGAGGTCCCAGTACACACACATCTCTCTGTTTATTAGCTATCATTGGTGTTTCTGGTGTTATAAAAAGATTATGCTTACACATACATTATCAACAAGCAAAAAATAAAGCAAGATATCATAAGGAATGGAACAAGCAGGCGTTAATGTCTGAAGAGAAATGAAATGTTACTGTATCTTTTAGAAATCACTCAGATATGTATCTAACTATGTAATAATGATCATAGCTACTTCTACCTCACACACATGTCAATATAATTTGCAGTCAGTTTAAAAGTATAGAACACTTTGGGGATGAAAGCTAGAACCCATCTTTAATTCCTTGGAGACTTGGGAGAAAATCAAGCCCAATTAGTCATGAAAAGACAAACTATAATTGCAATGATGGGGCACCTTAATTTCATCAAGATAGCTACCAGCTGGAGAGTACATAATTATATGAAAATTCAGGAATCTAGGTAAAATACATTAGACAACAAGCTGACTTTCACATGACTGATGCTAGCAATATTGTCTATAACTTTGCTTCAGCATTTTTAAAAAATACTATAATCTAATGAGTTACCTGTAATTGAAAGGACTACATCTTAATATTTAAGTAGCTCAGAGTGTCCCACAGGATGATTTTTGCTGGCCTCACTTTATTTAGTTTTGATCAAAAAATTAGTAATGATGTTTCAACAACCTAAGCTGCCAAAGCATATCATTGTCTTTCCTGGTTAGCAGTCAGTGTTACAAAGGAAACCTGAATTACCAGATTATTTTGGGATGCCACAGTCTACGACATAAGCAAACTAGGAAAAAAAACCAAACAACTTTACTATCTTAGAAAACACAGTTATGAATACTATAAAATAACTGTTGACAGTTAATAAACCTGTGCTCACATATGACAGTAAAATATCTGAAATTTCACGGAATTTATATCTGACATATTTTATGCCAGAAGATGTCATATTTTATGAACTAGTGAGGATATTTAATTAAAAATGAAAAAAGGCCCCTCTGCAAAGCAGTACCAAGGATCTAAGTGAAGGGTTCTTTCCATTTTTCTATCTTGCTTTTCTTATTGTTATGTTTCTTATTGTTATGTTTCTTATTTGTTCCTTTGTTTCCTGATGAAACCTATACAGTAAGATACAGTTATATGCAAGAAAACTGTATTTATAGTATACATCAACAAAACCAATATCTACTCCACAGTAACACTTAGCCAGGTACGACATGATAAATAACTGGAGAGCTTCGTTTATAGCATTCCACCGTAAAGTAAATCAATCATCTTGGAATGAAATGTACCTTCCAAGGCATATATGCACATATGCTATTATCACCCTTTGCTACACTATTTGAAGCAAGTAATTCAGTAACCCCTAAATACAAAGAACACCACTCTTTCCTTCTGCTTCAGTGACCAACAGCGCTCTCTGGCAACTCCCCAATGGGGAACAGAGGTGATACAGTTGAAGAGAATAGTCATTCTAGGAACATGGCAACCACATCAAGATACTCCTCTCAAAGGGACACCACAGCCTTGCTAAATAATATTAAACCAAGTATTTTAACAAATACATGCATTTCTATTAGGTATCCCCACTTGCTGATAAATGGCTATAAAAAGGTTCACTATTAATGGACAACAGTAAGTTTTGCCATGAAAGTCATATGAATGACTAAATTTAGAGTCTAAAACCCACACTACTTTTTTTTTCTTTTGCTACAAACATTATTTTTAAATAAAAAAATACAATACTATATAACAGAGCACTTAAATGCTACAGAAGTGGTTTGGCTTTCAACTAAGTTCAATTAAGTCTATTTACAAACCAAGGCATATTCTCTCTTGCATTTCAACATGTTCAAAACTGGAAGTTAGCACAATTTGTGAGAAATGGGTCAGGTTTTTGTTTGTTTTTATATTCTGCCTTGTGATGAACTATTAGGAGATGTTAGGGAATGTTATGCTATAGCTCTGCTCTAAAAGTTTAGATACTGTTTGTCACTCTTACTGAGATCCTACCAGCTTTACTACCTAAAGCATACCTGTGTGAGTAGAACTTCTAGACTCTACAACAAAGACAAAAACCCCAGCTCTTTGAAGTATAAAAGCAAACAGACCAACCCTAATTCCAGAATCAGAATACAGTCTATATGTTGGGGTTTTTTATGGTTGCAATGGGTTGCAGCTAACACTGATACATAACTTTGCCTCAATGGTCAAAGCTGCAGGCAGCACTGAAGCAGAGGAAGGCTAGTTGAGGAAGCCATGATAAAGCATAGCTGTGTCGCTCAACTCTTTCTAAAAAGCTGGAAAATGAATGAACGTTCTTACACTAACAAAACTGCTTCTTTCTTTCTTTCAATTTTGTCAGTCCTAGGAGTGCTATGGGAATAGATGCAGGAATACCTCCACAGGTCCTTCGCTGATGGGTATTTTCACATTTATATTTACACATCAGCTTCTGAATGGATTTTGGCACGTTCTCAAAATGGAGTTTATTCAGGATACCAGGATAGGCCAGATCCCAGGCAAAGGCATTCATACCACAAAGTTTAAGCACCTAGATGAAGAGCTGAAGTTAGGGGGATAACCTCCCTAAGTTCCCTCTATGGTTGATAGAGACAGCGAATAAATTATCAAAAAGCAAGTTCAAAAGGAGGAGCTTAATGCAAGCACTGGAAATACGTTCTCCTCTTCCATTAAATATATGGGGAACCTGTCCCTCTTAAGTCTTGCACCTCTTTTCAGAACCAGAAGTCACCTCACTTCAGCTGTGTAGATGTCATTTTAGGATAGCAACGCTGATTTCCAGGGAAATTATCTGGACTTTCAGGGGTGAAATAGGTGATCATCCACAGCACAAATCTCAAGAGTGCTACAGAAACAGTCACAAAACCCCAAACCCTCCGGAGCTTCTCAGCTGCACTTCCGAAAGGGGAGCACAGCTTCCCATAACCAACAGAACAGAACAAAACAAAACAAACAAACAAAAAAATTCAAAGCCACAGCTGACTATTTCCCATTTCCAATAAAAATGCTCTTTATATGGAGTCAGTTCATAAACCATAGGAACCCTAAGAAAAACTCTAGGAAAAAACTGCAAGTACTATTGAAGCCCAATTTAAAAACAGAATTTTACTAACAAGAATTACAGGAAGGTAAGGGCCTGCTTTCCACTAAGTCTCAGCCAGTATAAATGCAAAATTAGGCATCAGCTTTCAATGTAACACACAGTTCAATGGGTCTTAATATCAGGTGCAATTAAGCACACCTTTAATTTTTGTCAACTAAATTCCAAGGTAATAAAACTGACAGCTCCTGTTGGAAGGTCCTTTTGTCACAGTGATGCTGTTGGGTGATGAAGCTTTTTAACAGCTTGTTTCCCTTGGCTGTGCAGTTAAAAGATTATTAGGTGGCTGTACATTTTTCAAGCAAGGATGGCAACTTGAAAACTTAAAAGACATTTCTCAAATCTTTTAATTTTTTTTTTTTCTCTCCTGCTTTTAATATTTGTTGGAGGCTGGAAACTTACCAGCATCTAAGCTAGGAAGCCTTTGACCATTTCACTAAGTAAGGAAAACTTAATCTCTCCCCAATTCAGCTAACAAGTCAGTAGAACTAACTCAGAGTGAAACTCAACTCATCAGTGAGATGAGGAACAGTTGATAATTTGTGTTAAATACTTAATAGTTTCTCCTTTAAATTCTGATGTACATTCTGTATTTATTGCCTGAATAATTTCCACATTTTAAAAAGACTGATGGTGAAAGGAAAAAGGGTTGAAGGTCTCCTAAGAAGCTAGTAAGCTATTTTATTCATGTCCCAGATTTGAGGCCAGATGTTAAGTTCATACTTAACCTGCCCTGCTGACCCATCACCCAGAGATTCAATCCCTCCTCTCAAAAAGAAAACCAGCAGTATCACTTGAAATGCAGATATAGAATGTTTCAGATACCTCTTTTAGCTCGTTGTGTTTGGGGCAGGGAACATTGCCCCACTCTATGCCCTTTGGAAAGTGACCTTCTTTTCTTTTTTCGGAATCAGATGGGCCATCAGCAGACATTTCCATCTCATCCATTTGGTTCTCTTCTTCCTCAAAAACACAGCAACTGGTTTCTTTCAGTTGAAACGTTCGGATCAACAGCTGACAGGCCTCCAAGTCAGCTTCCCACACTCTTTGGAGCAGCTGGCTTCCACAACTGAAATAAAAGCCAGAAGAAAATAAAACTGCAGTTCAGGGAGAATAGTTGCTATTTTAAGTAACTTTTGGGGTGACTGCTTATTATTAGATAGGAAAATAAAAACAATAAAAACCAACAGCAGCTCAAATACTTCCAGAGAGATAACACAAGCTATTTCAAACTGAAAGGCAGTAAAATTATGGCCCTATTATAAAGCCAATACCATTAAAAAACCCCTTTGTGCTAAGATTTGGCTTCCAATTGTATGGCGCACACTGGCTTCAAGTGACCTTCTCCTGATGGGATGCAAGTCCAGGGGTTTTGCAATCACAGCCAGAGCTTCCTTCATGTTATCAGGCCTGTCATCCTAAAAGCAGTCATGTGGTTCTCCTGAATTTGATGTTGAAGATCATGCATGAACAATCACACTATTTACTGCATTAAATCTGCTCTAATTTTTGGAAAACAGGTACACTAAATTTCTTGTTAGACTGAAATGTGCTTGCTTCGATTCTGGTGAATCAGATTAAACTATAATACTCCTCCTTTCCTTTAGTCTTATACTTCTGAGTGTTGACCTTAACACTCATTAACGTGCTTTGTTTGTTTTTTTCTTTGTTATCACACCAAAGAAAAAACAAAAGCATTAGGAATTTCAAAATACCAAACTTCTTTATACTTTTAATCCATTGATCACCTCTCAGAGATGTACATGTACATTACAAATGCTGCTCCCGAGATCGGTTCAATACATATTTTCAGCTGAAGTAAATGGGAATTCTAACCACAGATAGTTTTTCGGAACAAGACACTGAATACTAACATCACACTCGTCATAAGAGATGTGGTCCTATCTCCATTTAATACATGTTGTCTCTAAGGGACCAAAAGATTAGGTTGCCTGCTAAAACACAGTACATCAGTGGCAGAGCCTGCAATGGGGCTCAGAAGCACTGATTCCCATGGCAATACGCGCTTCCAGACAGATTTGAATACTAATATCTAATAACTGCAATATTTTTTTCACAGTGCTTTTCAAATTATATCATTTGCTATATAATTGTAAGCAATTATAAGTGACTAAAAGAAGGAAAATAACTATTTGATTTTAACTTTTCTGACTAAATTTAATACCAGCTTATCTTTTATTCTAAATGAAGGATAAAGGAGCTGTGCTGCTCACAATGAATTCATTAATCTAACAAAGGTACGTTTTTAACTCTACAAACTCTCCAAGATGCCGAGCTGTAAAATTCACACAACAAGATTTTGAGACTGAGAGTAAAATGAATCTCCAGAAGCTGAGCTATTTGATCCATGCTTAGAGTCAGTATATATGTTTATATTGAAGGCAGAACACAGCATGAGGTCCACAAATTGGCCTCCCTCAAAGGAGTTCAGAGTATCACTAATTAAAAGGGAAAAAATCTTCACTGGATTACACTTCTCTGTTCCATTTTCATAGCATTTCACTTTCCAAGCCAGAAAAATAAAATAATCCCCACTGTTTCTCTACTTGTCAGTCACATCATTACGGTCACACAGTCAAAATATTTCCCTGCAGATATACATAAGCCCATTTACTTGCTTTTTGAAAAAGTTTGTTTGCAGCCATATATGGCTTCTTACTAAAGGCTCAGAAAATACACTAGAGACCTAAATCATAATTTCCAGTGGATAGCTTGTTTTGGCTTTTCAATTTAATGAAGAGCTCTATTGACAAAACTAGGGCAGAGATAGTGATGTATGTAATATTCACAGTGGAGAAGATGAATAGCATTTATATAAAAGTACAGCATAACGATGCGTGGGCTGCTGTTATTTGGCCATGACTCAGCTCATTGGTCAACTTGCTTTTGATTGTGTCTAAGTTTTACACCTCTAGTAATCAGCAATTACTGAACATACTGTTAATAGGACATCTTTGTTTTATCATTGTATCTTGAACTACGATACTAAGATGTCATGCTGAACTTTTCAACTGAATGAAGTGAATGCACATATACTTGGATATTCTGAACATATCTAAGCCCAAGGACTCTGCATCTTTTAGTCTGTAATTTGAAATTCAGTGCCTAGAAGCATTTTTCAAACACAGTTTTTGAATGAAAATTACTTGAAAGCCGCAAACACAGAAACACATACTAAATAATTCTTAAAAATTATGTTGTCTCCAGCATGCAAAAATCTTTAGCTTTTACATTAAGATAAAAAGCTCAACTGAATTTCAGAGTTTGCTTTATTCATGTTCAATCCACACTAAAAGTGCGTTTGCAGTCTCTATGAAGCCGAAAGTATGTGTATGCCTATACTGAACACAGTGAGTTTTTTCAGGTATGCAACTTCTCAAAATGATGGATCGAGAATGGATCAGATTTTATATTATTCCTATACTTATAAATATTTTATGATGTATCAACCTCTAGGTGGTATACGTCTGTCAGTACATTACTGTCGAAGTGGCTTATGTGGCAAGTTCAACAGAGGTGCCAGGAACAATTTCCTGGAATTCACAACAAATCACAATCCATCAACCATTCATATAGACCCAGCAACAACAAAGCATACCTTAATTACCTACAGATTGTGAACTGCCAGAGTGCTCAAGAGTCCAAATTGTACAAACACCAAGCAGATTACAATCATACCTCTTTCCTCAGAAAGACTTCTAAGTTTAAAACAAGCAACAAAAGCTAGGATACAGACGAAGATGTTCACAGAAACAGTGAGACAACAGTAGACCGAACATGGCATGTCAATTACAGTACAACAGTTTAATTAGTTACATTAGTAACTAATTAGTCTAATTACTGTCAAGCACACTGAGGCATCACAGTGGGCATTTTAAGGACTTCAGGAGGCCAGTGAAACAGGTCAGTGTGTATCTAAAATCTCCATCCCTCCATAAAGGAATCATGTAAGAAAGGCAAAAGATGCCAATATAAAAATATAATGGGCAAATGATTGATACCAGTGTGGTTTAATGTCTGTAGATGGAAGTCAGTCTTTGATATAAAAAAAAAAAAACACTGAGCAGGTGGTGAAAGATTATGAACAGCCTTGACACTGAAGGCTACTAGTTATGTTTTATGTGACAGGACAGAAGGAACCAATGAAGAAAAGCAAATTAAGTTAATTTATTAGAAACACAGAATTTTTAAAAGAGAGAGAGAGAGAGAAAGAACAGTCATCGCAGTGGCAACAGCACTTTGAATGGATGAGAGTAGGGCAAGATTGCTTTTGTCAAGTCACGGCCAGGGAAACGGATGTTGAAGTAAGTGAGATGCAGGACTCAACCTGAGTAATTTTTTAGCTGGATGGATAGCTAGGACAGCTCTTATCTCAAGGATACTATGCAGAAAGAATCTACAAGAGCAGGCCTAAGTTCACTTGAAGAATGGCTGAAACATCCAGAGCAACACAAAAGCACATAGCTGGGAGAATTCTGGATTAGGTCAAGTTGATGATGATGAAAGAGCTGTCAGAGAAACAGAGCTGTTTAAGGACAGGAGGAAATGAATGTAGAACAGAGAGGTTTATCCTTGAGTTCTCTTCACAAAGTGTCAATTGAAATTGTAATTGTAGATGCCTTTACCGAGTCTCAAGTAGTTTTCTAGGAAACAACACTGGAGACCAGAGGGTACAAGGAAACTACAGGATATCTGCAATCTACATGTAACATTGGGTGAAATTAATGTTGAGAGTCATATCCAGCAAGGATTCTCTCTCTCTGTTCCTTGAAGTCCAAAGAACATTGCTCCTCTGTTTTTTCACAAGATTCCCAGAGATATCAATGGGGGCTCTCCATGTGGCTCTCAACACAACATTATTCCAAAGCTATTTATAGTGCTAACTGGAACTACAAGAACACAACTTTCCTATTGAGGGCTCTGCATACATACAAAAGGCACATTCAGTTCCTGAACATTATAGCCTAAATGAAAACATGCCCATGTGAAAATAGACAAAAGAGTTTATATTAAACCCTATTTAAAAAAACAAAACAAAGTCCCCCAAAATGTCCTCAAAAGCAAACTACAATCAACATGGGGAGATGTCACTACTTGTAAATCTCATCATCGCCAGTTTTTAGGAATGTCCCTTGGTAAATGAATTGCTAAAAATGGTTTATAACACCCTGAGGTCAACACTGTGTGTTGACAAAAGCTGTTGCTTATTTTAAGGGAAATCCCTGTAAGAAGCCACAGCTGGAAAGCCAAGAGAGTGAGACTAAAGCTAAAAGGCTGCAGAGTAAGACATCTATTTAGAAACTGCATAAACAAAAGCTAATTTATGAAGGGAGATTAACCATCACTAAGAAATACTCTAGACAACCTCCTTCTAATAGGTGAGCCACACTAAGATGCAGGTTCAGGAAAGCATGTACTTACCTTTTCCCAGTACCTAGCACACATGTTAACATTGCATTCACTGACCATAAAGGCAGTTTTCTCTGACAAGAAAACAAACAAAATGCAACAAAAATAGTCTGGCAGAAACAATGGGGATTTTCATTACAACAATTAAAATGATTGGAAAGTTTTGAGGTTTGCAGAAAATAGCATTGCAAATCAAAAGTCTTTGCTCTATATCCCCATTCTTTGTTGATCTATTGTACAAACTAGGGAAAGTTTCTCTGTATTTTGGTCACTCACTTCTATTTATATTTTGCACCACAGGGTAGGAACTAGCTCTTCTTACTCTACATTTAGTTATGTCTGTTGCCTTTTCTTAAGGCAACAGCCATGTAGTGAACAAAGGAAGCAAGTAAAAGTATGGAGTAATAATACAGAGAGGAAGGAAGGCAACCATGCAGCTTTACTGTCAGCAGAAATCCACCCCTATGATTTGGTTTTTCATATTAATTCACAGTCATACATTAAGAGCATTTCTTATATTTAACATATATTTATTACTTCAGAAATATGTTTTGCTTCTCTCCCTCATAAAGAAAGGTTTCCAGCCTGATCAGTTTTTGATCTTTAACCTTAGTTGTTATATTTTAAGATACCTACAAC